GGTGGGCAGCGATGTGTGGTGTGGATTGTCATGGTAACGCTGGTGTGGGTAGTGGCCGGTGGGTAGTGGCTAGTTGGTGTGGCTGGTGATGGCGTGTAGTGGGGGTAGTGGTGGCGCGCGTGATGGTAACGGAGGGTGGTGCGAGGCGGTGGAGTGGTTATGGGTGGTGGCTGGTGGGTTGCCAAGTGGTGGTAGCAGAGTGGATGGCGGGATCGGTGCAGGCAGCGGGGTGCAATAGGTGGGTTGGTGGAGTGTGGTCAGTGGGGTAGGGAGTGGTGGTCGGATGGGAAGACGGTGGTGGGAAAATGGTGGAGGGTTGGTGGCTAGTGTTGGGTGGTTATAAAAAAAATGAAAACTCAAAACGGAAACACATTTTTTGAGTTTATGTTTTTTAGTCAAATTTATAAACTGAGACCATTGATTTATAAATTAAAAATTTACCAAACAAGTTTTTATTTGAGTTTTTTAAATTTTTATAAATATAAACAGAAAACTGAAAACGTAAATGTTATCAAAAGGTACCCAATTAAATAAATAAATAGATTGTCTTTCGTCCAAGATTTGAACCAGACGAGTCCCACCTGGATTAGGGGGCTCACTACAAATCTTCATTTTGATAATTTGAAATATTTATTTTTGACCCTTTAAAAATAAAATATTAATTGATTCAATAATGGTAACCAACTAATTTTAACACATTCTTTTTAGGAAAAGTGAACTTTCAAAATAGACTGTTTATTTTTTGAAAATAAATACAATAAAATTATATGATTATGTTATTGAATCTGTCTGAGTTTTTTACAAGTAATCTACACATTGATAACCATTAAATAAACAATTTAAATCATTAGAATAAGACTCGTGGTAGAGTCACGGAATAAAACTGGACCGTCCAATCCAAATGGTAGACCAGAGGCAACCTGTCTAAAAAAAAACTTCCATGACAGATGGTTAAATAGTACTCACTCAATTCCTTCTATAAATAGCAACACAAACACACACAGAGGAACTCATATTGTCAACAACTCTTAAATTCTCAAGCAAACTCTCACATCTTTCTAGTTTTTGTTCACTTAAGGCTTTTAAAAAGATGAAGCTTGTGTTTGCTACATTGCTTCTTGTTACACTGCTCCTGAGCTCTTCTTTTGTTGAATCCACCACTGATAGCTCAGGTAAGACCCTTCCAACACACATGCTAGCTCCATTTTTAGTTTTTGGTAAATTACACTGACAACTCTTGCGGTTTTTGTTTGATACAAATTTTCTCTCACATTTAAAAAATTATATTTCCCTCCCTGAGATTTGTAATCTCATTACATATTGTCCGTTGGATTGCTGATGTCATATTTTAAAATTTTCTAAATAACCATTTTGTCATTTTTCTTACCATTTCTTCTTCTTATCACCATTATATTCTATAACTTTCCATCATTAAATTCTACCTGAATATATTCTTATTGAGTGATGATATACAAACATAAATATTATATAGAATTTTCAAACTCAATGATATAGTTTGATAACAACTTTTCACTTTAAAACAAAACATCCATAAACATGATTTATATTTACAACAATATCACTATCACAATATTTTTATGATATTTTTTGTATAAATTTTTATATATGAATATAATTTTCATTTTTATTTCCACCATTATAACTAGATTAGATCAAATCTAGATATATTTGAAAAATATAAAATTTGTACAAATATTTTTTAAAAGATCCATTGAATACAACAAAATAAGCTAATGTATTCAATTTTCATATTTTTGTAATTTTTTTTTGTATTGGTTAATTTAAAAAAAAAATCACAAAATATTATACTTATTAAGTATATGTAGATTAGGTATATCTGAAAAATAAAAATAAAAAAATATTAAAATATTAAAAAAATTCAGTAAATTTTTTTTAAAAAAATGAAAAATAAACAAAAAATAATTTTTGTGTGAGTTAAACAAAAGAAAATGATTTTTATTTCTCTTGAAATGATATGAACAAAATATTTGTATTATTTGTATTATTTTATATGTATAAAGGTTAATGGATAAATATATTATTTTAATCTGATAAGGGAATAAGTGTAATTTTTCAAATGTGAAAGGAGATCTATATTAAACAAAAAGTTCATAAGATGTCAGTGTAATTTACCTTTATTTTTTTTATAAGCATGTAACGTCTCTTCTTTAATTTACACTCGGTTTGTTTCGATTTTTTTTTTTTTTTTTAAATGTTCTTTGTCGTTTGATACGATGGGAAAACAAATGTGTAACAAAAACATATTTTGTGAAAACAAGTTTATTTGAGCCCCCCCCAAAAAAAAAAAAAAAAAAGGGTTTTCAAATGTTAAAAAAGTGTTTTCCACTTAGCTAAAGTGTTACCAACATACAACCACCAATTTGAAGTATTTTGAAAGAGTTTTTCAATGACATAAAATTTTGTTAGAATTCAATTTAAAACATCATTCAGTGACATCACTGTATATTATTAATACCACCACCATTACGGTTGTAACCGCCACCCCTAACACTATCACACTATCACCTCCACAACCACCTCCATCTACTACCACTACTACTGTTCTTGCGACCATTACCACCTCACCGTCACTCTGCCATCACTACCACACCAACACAACCGTTAGCATATTAGTGTCAAAGCCATAACCAAACAACCAAACAAACAAACAAAAAAATTCATCACAACAAACAACAATAAAGAAACGGAGCATTCATATTATAACGCTGAATTGAGTTGAGTTGTGGGTGTATGCTTATATAAATTAATATTATGGAAATGAACTTGGTGTTGTGTTGTGTTGTGTTTTGTTTGGTGATATATTAATAGGTATTTGTCACTCAAAGTGCGAAGTGAGGTGCAAGGATGCAAAAAAGAAGTATCGGTGCCTCAAATACTGCAAATTATGCTGCGAGGATTGCAACTATTGTGTGCCTTCTGGTACTTTCGGAAACAGGTCCGAGTGCCCTTGCTACCGTGACAAGAAGAACAAAAGGGGCAAGCCCAAGTGCCCTTAAAATAAGTTAGCGGAAAAGTTATGTACACAGAACTCGTGCACATAAAAATACTCTGAAAATCATTGTGTGATTGATTTAATTCATGTATTGTGAGAGTTCACATATGTACAATGAATCTGAGCACATAATGATTTTCTTGGTATATTTATGTAAATAAGTTCTGTGTATCTAGCATTGTGGAAATGTTAGATTCGCAACTCACCCACTTGTTTATCTTCGTCTAGATTAGGTTATGTTGTGTTTGTTGTGCTTTCTAGCTAATAAAGAGGGATGCTATATATCACTATCACTCTGGATAATATTTTTTTTACATCTTATGTGGCGTGAATCCTTGTAAGTAAAAAAAAAAAAAAAAAAATTCCCATAGAAAATTAATCCAGTGACAAATATAATGTTCCTTAGTTTTATCTTTATAGAAGAATAATGGATTGAAAAAGAGATAGGTTAAGAATAAAATAAATAAGTTCGGAATAAGTGGGATTTAAGCCTGATGTAATATTTGATCATGGTTATCTGTAGTCCATTCGTTGTTGACTTTTCTTGGCATACCTTTCTTGTAACCACTCTACTGATTTGATACAGATTTCTATTACTGCATCTATTATTCATATTCTCTGGATTTTATTTTATTTTATTTATTTATAATTTTATTTTATTTTTGTATTGAAATCTTTAATATGGAAAATGAAGAAATATTGAGTTCAATCAATATCACAAGCCAATACAAATTCCTAAGTGACATTAGATGGATGAACTTAATAATATAGTTTTCACTATCATATTGCGAAATTTCTCATTGATTAATAATGATGCCACATCACATCACCGTTATATCAATATTTAGTAATATTTCATCCAAAGGGCGACAAGTTAGTATCCCCTCTTGCATTTCTCCCACTCCATTCCCATTAATAGATCGGAAATGAGTCAAGTTCATCACAATAAATAACAATAATTTTTTAATCAAATTTTAGAACCAAAAAATAAAAATAAAAGCTTAATTTCGATCACATGATTCACTCAATTACAACTTAATTTTAATAAAGTTATCCAAAAAATATCATATTTAGCAACTAATCAACAGTAATACGAGTAAATTAATTTCAAAAGAACAAGTTCAACTAAATTTGACAAATAAATATTGTTTCGAAACAAATTGGTGAAAGATTTAAATTCCATCTATTTCTTTAAAAGAAAAAAATCACATTGTATAGATAATAAAATAGCCAGCAAAGTAGTGATTAATAAAGAAAAAATAGTACAATCTTTGACAAATATCCAAAGTGTGTAATTTTTAATAATTGTTGAATAGTCAATTTTTACACCATCACGTCTACGAATCACTTAAAAAGTTAATTTTTGCTTTGAAAAAAGAGTTCCAAAGCTATCAAACGGCTCATCATAAACTAAAAAAATCACGTCACATCAATTTTTTCCATTCACAAAAAATAATTTTTTTAACAACTTCCAAAATATGGAAATAACCCAGACTCATAGTAAAATTTAGGTTTTAGTCAACTAAACAAGTGCTAGTTTGTTGGTTCTTTGAAATTTCGTAAGATGGATTCTCAAAAATAAGAAATGTAAAAGTTGATCTTCCTATATTTTCTTTTCCTAACACCTGAACGGAACCTTTCTTTCGCTAGGGCTTTTTGCTTGAGGGGTATGTCCGAGAGGAAAGAAGAAAATCATGTTGTTTCCTAGACCGTGTGTGGGGATGTATTTTCTGAATACCAACACGTGGCATGATGACACCGACGTGTCAGCCGAGGTGCCACGTGTCCTGGTAGTTAAGCTGAGATGATCTCGGAGTTGCCGAAGTTATCCCCGAAGATATCGGAATCCGAGATAAGCAGATAAGGGACAAGAGTCCTAAGGCAAAGAGGGGACTTAACCAAGATAAAGATAAAGCTCTTAGGGAGTTTTATCTTTATCTCTTATAGAGTCCAGAGTAAGCAGTAAATTGGAGTTCATAGAAGTCATACTTCTAGTGGGACTTGGATTGAGTATATTATAAAAGAGAGGCACCCCCGTGGGTCAAAGGTATGCAATTTATGTTTTGAGTATTCAGTTTAGCACTTGATTATCTTTGAGAGATATACTGACTTGATCGTCGGAGTGCCCCCGGGTGGAAGAACCACCGCCGGAGCTTTTTCTTTCTGTTACAGGTTGCTTGAAGCCATCTATTCTGCCGGTGCTCTCCAGCTGATTACTAGGCAGGCAGTGTGGTCAGAAAATCACTCACACAATCTTATATAAAACTGCACATGATAAGAAAGGTGTGAAACCCTTTTACAATTTTTGTTTAAATTCTCAACAAATTTTCTCACATAAAATACAACTCAATGAAGCACAATAATATTTTGAGAACAAATAAATATCACAAATTTTTCCATTTCGTCTCTTCTTCACTTCATTATTTTTCTCCAACCAAAATACTTCTATTTATACCCAAAAATATATCCATTGGAAGGCAAACGCTTTTCCGGATCATGAGGCGACCGAGCGCAAGACGCTCCTCTATTTGATTTTGTATCACGTGGGCACGCGGAGAAAACACACGCCAGCTTGAAATAATCCGTCGCTTTTGATGAATAGTGTTCTACTGATTTTTTCTCCCAAACTTGACGAATTTCAAATGTTACATAGCGTAGACACCCCATTTTGACTGGCTCTAAGACTTAGGCCATTTCTTTTGATTACCCGATGATGAAAACAAGAGTGTGTTTCTCAAATAATCTTCAGTAAGAAATATGAAATTTGTGCTTCATTCCAAACCCTAAGCCTGTTTTAGCCAAGTGCTTAAGTCCTGTTGAAAACAGTCTTTCGAAACTTTCTTTTCGTACTTTGTTCTGAATATTTTCGTAGTGTTCTGAGGCTCATTTTTAAACTTCAAAATGAAACTTTTTCTGAGAAAATTGAGTAAAGAACAGTGTGGAAATAAGAGGAAAGGATGATAATTATGTTAAAAAATCATGTTTCGTGCAAAATAGTCAGTCACGGCCAGTCAATTTTTTGGTCGGCCGGCCAAAAGCCAGCCAATTAGTTAGCCAGCAGGCTAATTTTTCCAAAAGCATGGTAGTTTCAATAGAATTCTTACTGAATGCGTATGGGTCATGCCATTATAGCTGTTTTTTTATAGATTCATGCACGAGATACACACCCACCCCTCTCAATTATCCTCCCTTGGCTTCCATTGTCAAAAAGGAGATTGTCATCCTTCCAAAATGTGGCATCTATATTCAACCACCCTTGTCATCCCATCATCCTTGTCTCCCACTTTCTTGACTTTGCATTCCCTAATTGTCTATATGGAGAAGATCAAAATGTATGTATGAAGAGAAGGGATGAAAAAGAGAGGAATGAATAAAGAGAAAAGAGAGATGTGGAGAGAGAAAGAGAGAAGTCTTCAACATTTGAGCTATAAGCTTCCACACACTGATATACCATCTTTCTATACATGAAAATCATCCCAAAAATTTAGATATAGCCATATTCTAGTAGCTTTGATCAAAAGAGAGTGATTGTTGTTAAAAAAGAGAAAAACAGAGAGTTGAGCAACTCCCCACACACATTGTTAAACAACCCAAAAACACCATTCCAATAAGAATTTCAAAATTTCGAACTGAGAATTGAGAGTACACTTCCTACATTTGAGCGTGATTAAAAGGAAGTTGAGAAATCAAATTTTTCATTGGAAAGTGAATTTTGCGCACTTTTTATGTTCTTTTACTTTCTTGCATTTTCTTTCTTCTATTGTTTTTCTTACTTTGATTTCATGTTATGAACTTGTTGTAAGCTAACTGGAAGTGGTTAGTTGAGCCACTTGCATATTTTTCCCTTTTTTTTTTTTGGTGGTTGAAGCAAAACAAAGTTTTCAGCCTAGCCTGGTCAACCAGTCACTTTGTCCTCGACAGAACCCAACAGTCCCCTAGATGTCTAGTAGAATAGTCTTCGATGATCTCCAAGGCCTCTTGAAGCTTTTGTTTTTTGTTTATTTATTTTAATTAGAAAGAGTTTGTGAGGATTTAATTTTGTTGTAATATTTTTATTCCTCTCTTCCCTTATTCGAATTTGTAATATTCAAAGTGATATAACGCTTCTTTTTATTCCATTCTTTTATTTGCTTTCCATATTCTGTAAATATGCATCTTATATTATGCTTGTCATCATATCCATGTTATGTATCCATGTTTTATGCCTTAAGATCCAGCTAAATTTGCATTTATGAGTTTAATTGATTATTATGTGATTTTCTGCGCTACCTCATGTTTTAAGATGATTTACATGTCATATATTAGAAACTGGATCTGTTGTTGCATTTCATGAGTGAATTGCATCAGGATCTTATATATAGGATCATGCATATTTTACTAACTTTGTTTTGTAAATATTTGCGAGACGTCGGTAAATATGTAAGTTTTTGTAGTTTAACATCCCAAATGTGTGTGATTTTCTTACTATGTTTAGCATCCTATCATGTGGCTATATGCTTTTTTGATATAACTCCATGCATGCCGATGGGTGAAGGTTGTGTTGTTTAATTTGGAATAAAATTGATTTTCATGATTGTACTATTCAAAACATTTTCAAGATAATGAAATCAAACTGTTCTAAAATGAACGATACAGTCTATATTTGTTTGCTTCTCATAGTAAATTTTAGGATTTAATATTAATAATCAGAATATGAACATATAAAGTTAATAAAATTCATATCATGGCTTAGTAGAGGCTGATCTTTTGATCAGGTGCATGAGGGTGCTCAATTAACGACCTTCCCCTCTCATAACTAAGGTTTCGAGTCAAGCATACTTGGTTACGATGAACAGTGGCCTTGGCACGAGT